AAAAAAAAAGGCTGTGAGGGTTCAGTAATTTGCTCAGTATCACTAACTATGTGAGAAAATAGGGTTCATGCTCATACAGCCTTGCTGCAGCCCACATGCTGAACCACCAGCTATGCTGCCTCCCTACAGAAGCCGTTCACAAGTCCTGCACACTTTCGTGCAGGCTGCCAACTCCTACATTCTTAGCAAACATTTCTTCATCTCTGACCCAGAGAAGACAATGAAAACTGATTATCACTCACAGACAATGAAAATTGAAATTATGGTTTTATTTGTACATATCATATTTGCAGATAAAAGTTTGGAATTTGTCCTTGATGGGCTGATTTTCTGAAACTGAAGATCTCTATGTTTAAAGAATATAGAAATTCAGAATACTTTTCAGGAAGCATGAGGAATTACTTGTAAATCTCATTACCTGTGGCTTTATCTGAACAGTGATTTCAGGAGGTACTCAAGACATTTCTGAACAGAAGAGGGGTGGTGTATAGCTTTGCTTAGCTTGGTTTACCTAAGAATGATGTAACTACAAGGCAAAATCTATAGACTGATCAATTATCTCATATTTGATTCTATCTTTCTAAACAGGGATGTGGCGCTAAACTCAACATGAATTGGATTCCTTATCCCTCCATATCCAAGATCACCAATCTCACATGCAGCATTTTTTCCATTCTTGTTATGGCATACATTGGCATAGGCAGGGGAAAAAAATTTTTTTTGTAATGCATATAAACAAGAATGAAAAAAAAAGAGCATCACTCTTCATACTTAGGACGGGTTTGGTTCCCTGCATATCTCAGGCTCCCAATCTAGACACTCAGCTACTTGACTCTGCTGTGGATACTCATTGCTCACTATCATCTACAACCTGTTTCCAAACTCAAAGCTGCAGCCACATATCCCAGCAAAAATGCAGAGGCACATGGGAGTAGTTGCTCATGTTGTCCTCTCATGACTCTTAACGTAGATGAAACCACAGAATCAGTAAAGATGCCCTCAGGAGTTTGCCCATTCCTCCATCAACAAAAACCTAACAAAGAATCTACTCTTTATGAGACCTTTAACAATTAAATACAAAATTGGCTCAACTTCTTAAAAAAGAAAAAGCTTAGTGACCAATAGAAGTTAAAACACAGCCTGCAGAAGGGAAAACAGTGCCCTCCTTCTTAAATGGAATAGGAAGGAGGTATTTCAATTATGATCTGTGACTTATAATGATAATATGTTTTGCAATACTTCTTAAGGTTTAGAGAAAATGCTGACAAAGATCCTGCAATCCTAATATCAATATTTCAATTTTAGATGCAATAGAAGATGGATTCTTATTCCATCTTCTATATTCCTAGTAGGATATATAAAGCATGAAAGAGTGTTGCTCCCCGCCTAAAGAGTAAAACTAGGTAAATAGCAAAATCATAACTTTGCTTTAATCCATTAGAAAATTGAGGTTACAGGGCAACCAAGTAGGCTGAACTCCAATGAAGAAGAGGCTCTCCCAAGGAGAGACACTTATGTGGATTTGCCTAGACCAGCCTCTCACATGAAGAAAAAGTCTTAAGCTGTTGCAGATGGGAATAAGAGCTGAGAGAAAATTCTGTCACCTCCCAGAGCACAGGTTAAGATCCATTGCAGCAGAGACAGGAATCAAGAAGTAAAATAAAA